TTTTTTGTTAGAGTGTATGTTTTTTTTTTTTTTTTTTTTTTTTTTTTTTTTTTATTTTGCATGTGAGCTGCATCAAAATTGAACTCAGTCTTGCAAATCTCTTGTTGGCCTTTGCCAAGCACTAGCACTTTGCTGCCATGGTAACTGTAATTAAACTGATAAGAGTGGAAAAATGTCAGTATCTCTGAGCCTTGCAGCTGCATTGGAGAAAAAGGGAATCAAATTGGTTCCCAGCTCCATTGCTCAAAAAGGGGAGGGGGTGGAAGGGTAGGGAGGGGGTTGGGAGTTGAAGGGGCAGAACAGAGTTAAGCAGCTCCAGTGCCTGAGATCTGGGGACATCTATTTGCATTGTTGTCCCTTAGGGGGCTGCAGCCCATAGGGATGCTCTAGGCCAGTGAACAGAGAGAAACAAGCTTTTAGGCCCAGTCCAGTTTTCCAATCCACATTGGGGGCTGGGGAGAGGATGAAGATGGGCAGAAGGAGAGAAAACCTTTTGTTTGGTACCTCTTGGCAATCGAATGGCCACATTGGCCAAATTCTTTTAATCTGTGTCACTGCTCCCAGCTGCAGAACCTGCATTCCCATTTTAACATCTTTCTGAGGCCCCACATCTCTTCCAACCCCCTTTATGTATTCCCTCTTCCTGTTCCTTCTCCCAAATTGTTCCCTGTGAATTTTCCAACAGAGACAAAATGTTTTCCATTCACTCTGTGTAGTTAGTCCAAAAATATAAAAGACTGTGTCTAAGTGCTGCAGATCTTTTATTATTATGATGATTATTTTTTAAACCCCTGTGTGTTGTGGAGTTGTGGTTACTTTGTTGTGTTAACTACTGAAGCTGAGACTGCGGATGAATGGCACAGAACAAGGGAAAATAATGGAGGCAATCAACCGTTAGGCCGCCTCACAATGCAATCCAGGCAATTAAAAGCTCACCAGAGTTTAAATGAAATGCTTCTACTTATTTCAGCACACCACACTGCACAGGCTATTATTTATGTCTTTTTTTTTAAAATTATGATTTCCCTTAAACTGTCAAATAACTCAGAATGGCAGGGACTCAGAGGCAATAAGAATTTCTCTCAGAACAATTTACATGCCAGTCTAAAACTAGTTATGAGTCCTGATGTGCTATGAGTAACTTGTGAAATGTTTCTCAGCTACGAGCACATAACTCTACCCAGACGTGTTCTTCTGGATGATGAGGGGAGGCCATTGACTGCTTGATGCCTTTTAGGTACATGGCAACATGGTGACTACAAAATAGTTCTTTTTCTACAATTGTTAACTTGCACAGAATGGAAAAAATTCTATTTTTAAGGGAAATGCGATAATGTTCTCTCAAAAAAAGTACTGGGAAGCCATGAGAAATCTCAAACTCCTTTTATGCCCAGGGCCAAACAGAATGTAAGAGTTTCAAATATTAATTGGCCTCTGAGTGCTAAATTAAAATGTCAACACAACAAAAACATTTTGTGAAGACAAGCAGGGTAGTGTTACTTGTGCCAAATGGTGGTATCCTGTCTTGTTTGCAAAGCACTTTGAATAGAGATAGCTGACCTTCTACACTTGATGGTAGTAACACAACTATGGGAAATATAGCTCAGCTACTACTAAGAAGGATTTTAAAAAATTTTTTCATCTTTGAGCCGTGTGATTTTAAAAAATAATAGCCTTATAAATTAGATAATTAGAATGGCTACTCTCAATATATCTCTGGATGTTTTCAATAACAAAATCCAAAATGTCATTTAGTAAGTCAAAAATTTCCCCTCCCCTCAGGTATATGGTTAAGAGGCACTTGGGTCTATTCTGCACTGTAATTAATGAGATTCTTTCCTTATGGAACCTTGCTAGAAGAGGATAACTAGTTCTGATCAAAGAAACTTCATTTGTTAGAAGTTCTAGAGAGTGAGATTTAGCAGACCTATCAAGGGTTGTGATTAATCTATACTAGGCTGTTAGCTCCTTCAAAGAAAAGGAGCAGAAAGCGGGCTATGGGGATACCACCTGCTCTTCTGTACAAATCCAGCTGCTAGTCTGCAGCTCCGGCGACCATGGCTATGCATGTCATGCAGAAAGAACAGCCACTCTGCTTTCTTCTCTGCCATTCCCTACTTCAATACTCTATGAGACAAGTTATTTTCTAATGATAGTTCAACATCATAACAATATTGTGTGCAATTCATGTATTGTTTGTAGCTAGAAAAGTTGTTCAGCTGTGGGGATGCCATGATGTGTCTTATCGGTGTAATTTTTTAAAAAATGTTGTGAAGGTAATGGGGCTGAAATTGTCATCTTAAGGTATGAGAGGAAACTGGAGAAAATTTAGCTATTTTGGAAAAAGGAAATGCACAGAAAATGCAGAAGATTATAGTTTGGTGTTTCTTTTCTTGAACCTCTTTCAAATGCATGCACATTGGGGGTTTTATCTCCTTCTACATCCAAGTTTAAAACTTTATGCCTAGGAGAAGAAGCATAGTATAGCAGAGGGATCTTCAGACTGTAAGAAGGCCACCTGGCCCCATGTCTACAACTTAACTGTCGTTCAGCTTTAAGCAAGTTCTTGAACCTCTCTTGGGCCTCTGTATCATAACTTGTAAAACAAGGGAATCTGGAATTGATGATGTCTGCAGTATTTTATAGTGCTTAAAATGAGTTATTTTATAAATATGAAGCTTTGAATAGTTGGTCCAGCTTTTTTTGAGACTGGGTGCTTGACACCTAGGAAATAAGAAGAAACTCTAAGGTAAATATTCATTCATGGAAAAGCTTTCAATAAAGTTGTAAAACCCATAGAACTCAGCTAGATTCCCGATTATGATGACAGTGTATCATTAAAACATATAAATATCCGTACGTCCAATATAGTATGTATATAACATATGTAATATATTTATGTATGTTTGTATAATTTTATATATATTTGGACTTTGCCTTCTATTCTTTCTCCTATAAAATAAATAAGTGCATGTTTTGGGGAATAAATTGTATAATCCTATATTTTAGCTTTGTATAAAAGCAAGTAGCACTGTTGGATGCTTATGAGTATGATTTTTTTTATTTTAATATAATGAATATTTTGAAATATCAAAGACACAGAAGGAAGTATTTGGATATAAACAAGCAATACAGGATTGGTGAGCTTTTCGGGTTGCTGTATGGTATACTTAACTATGAACATCTCTACTGCTAAGTGAGGTTAGTGTAATACCATACAGGGTGTACTCTTCTTCCACTACCAAGCTCATATTAAGTTAATATTTTAGCCAGTTAAGCAAAACTAATTTTTGACTACTATGGACTCAGTTTGTTAAATAGCTTTGTTTTCAGGTGGTTAGCCATTTACATTTTCTTCCTAAAGGAACTGCTCTATGTGGAGAAGGGGACTCTATAAAATGACTTAATGTTATTTAATTTCATATATATAATGTCAACTTACCAGGTACAACATGAATTATTATTGCTACTTTATGTGTGACTTTATAAATGATTTAATAAGGACTTTATAAAGTTGGAGACTTTATTTCCAAAATTTAGTTTGATTTCAGTTTGGCCCTAAAAATGAAACATAACACTCTAGAAAAAAGACAATATTAAATATTAACTTGTTTGCGGTCTTTTGACATCTTTGTATTCTGTCTTGGAGTTTCAGCTCTCTTTTTTGTTTTTGTCTTTTTTAGGTATACAAATGCTCTCAGTTCAGCCAGACACCAAGCCGAAAGGTTGTGCTGGCTGCAACCGAAAGATCAAGGACCGGTATCTTCTAAAGGCACTGGACAAATACTGGCATGAAGACTGCCTGAAGTGTGCCTGCTGTGACTGTCGTTTGGGAGAGGTGGGCTCCACCCTGTACACTAAAGCTAATCTTATCCTTTGTCGCAGAGACTATCTGAGGTAGGAATTATCCTTGCACACCAGTGATGACTGAATGCCTTTTTAAATACGATTGTAAGTTTGTTTTTGCTTGTTTGTTTTATTTCCTTACTACCAGCTTGTATTCCTGAAAGATGTTGACTTATCAACCTTCAAATTGATGCCTGGTGTATGTTACACAAACTATTGCTTAAGGAATAGCCAACAAAACACAGTATTTAAAAGTGCTTTAGGGCTGGCTGGTTAGCTCGGTTGGTTAGATAGTGGTGCTTGATAACACCAAAGTCCAGGGTTTGATCCCTGTACCAGCCAGCTGCCAAAAACAAAAGAACGCATTTCAATTTGGTTTGCCTACATACTCATATTTAGGACTCGGTTATTCTACTGCCTGTATTGAAACTGCCAAGGATGTATTTGGTAGAAATCAGCATACAAGTTTCTTATTAGTGAGAAGGTGCAATGTAGGCTGAATGTAACACAGAGAAATGGATTGGTTGCTTGACTAACCATTTTAACTCTTTATGTTTAAAAAATCCAACTTGAAAAACACTATGCAAAATAGTTTAACTATTACCCTTTAGTTGGACCTGAATTTATTCTTCTAAAATTATTTAGTTCTCTTTTCTGTTTCAGATTTGTCAGAGGAAGACAGTTTTAAATTCCTATGGGTATTTGTTAGTGTATTTATTGTACAGTTTTGAAAACTTTCCCCAGGTGTAAATACATCTTCCCCCATGACATTCGAAATGGTCATCACAAAGACATCACTGAGTATGGCACAGCCTCAGACTTGTCAGTAGCTTTATGAATAATAAGAACAAAAGAAGGCCTCCATCATTATGGGGAAGTGATAGCCACTCTCCAAACTGTAAACAACCGAACAGTTTCAGGTCAATGCAGATGTTATTGATATGAAGCCATGAAGCCAACTAAACTTGTTTCCCAGCATTTGAAACTCAACACAGAACTTCTATTGAAGAAAAATTATTTTGCTTTTCAGGGAACTTTGTGACTTGATTCAGCTACAAATTACTTATATTAATAAGGTAGGATCTATCAAATTAGAGGAATGATATATGGCATCATTTGGGTTTTCATATTTGATACAATTAATCATTTTTCTAGTCTGACATTACACGATTTATTTTGAATTTTGTCCCTTATGACACAAAATTTATCAATCAGCAGTAACTCCTTAACCATCTTCGTCATTTTGGGAAGTGTTTTCTGGGAAATTAGTCCTTCTTAGTATTTAATTCAGTTACTGTTAGTCAGATTCAATCTTTATATATAAAAATACATCGTTTGATTAATGGTAGTTACAAGAGGGTGAATCCAGTACCGCTTATCAGGTCCTACTTTTTCTCCCTCTCAGGGCTGCCTCATCTGACAGCCTCCTGACTAAGTATGACCACTTGTTACTGCTCCTCTGTGTTCCAAGAGCACAAAATGCATGCATGTTGCCTACAATGGCAAGTGATCTCTCCAGCCAGGATTGCCCTCATTATAGCGGCACAGCTAATCAGAATTAACGTATAATGTGAATTCTTTCAGAACTCTCCAGTCTTTGAACTTGTCTCTTTGAAATCAAAATTTCTTCTCTGCTCATTGTGAATTAGAGCCTCATTTCCACATAAAGCATTTCTATTTGCTTCTAGTGATTTAACGCTGCTTTCCAGTTTTTGCCTTATCTGTACTAACCAATAGCTACAGCTTTTTGATTCCGTTTGACTTTTCCATTTGTTTACAATTTCAGTATCTCAAGTAGATTTATGTCTCAATTCCAAACAAGGAGTTCGTGTAGTCCAGGCAAGATAAAGGTGTTTTAATAAGCAAAAAGACCAAAAAGACAAAAATTAAGTAAATGTTAAAGAAAGTTGCTTGAAATATCTAGAGTTTTTAAATAAAAAATATAAATTTGCCAATGAAATACCTGTATCGCTAGTGAAACTGCCTTACAGTTGTCAGTAGCAGGGAAAGGAACCTGAGATTTGTTTTGTTTTATTCTTCCCTATAGTAGTCAAAAAATATGATGTTAAACTGGTATTTCATAGTCTGAAGTAGTGTTTTGTTGAAGGCAGTTTATCAAAGTAGTTTTCATATCAGAAATCCTTATCTCTTTCTAAAAGAGTATATGTTGCTTTTGTGGTATAACTTTTAGTTAATTTCTGATAGGCTCAAAATTTTAATACTAGTTAATTTATTTAAAATATATCGGACTCTTTCACATATAAGCTTTGGTCCTGATTGCCAAAATATTCATTTCTCAGTGTACAATTTCCTCTCAAATTGGTCATTACCACATTAATGGCTAGTTGTTATGTTAACAGCCTAAGGGTTGTTAACATTTCAAACTAAGTTGTTAACAGCAAGCTTATCCCTTATTTAAACTGAAAGTTTGGTGCATATAGTGTGAATTCTTTGGCAACTTCATCAACACTTATAATTGCAGAAATGGAGAATTGGTATGTGTGAAACACTGTGTTACGTGTCATACATTATGCCACAGATGTGGTATTTAGTTTTATGTAGAAAGCATGTGTCTCAATGAAATTGTGTAGATGTTTAACAGCATATGTCTCTGATTGGCAAATTAAAATAGATTCTGTGTGTTAAATCGATAAATACAGTCAAGCAGATTTTATTTACAAATTAATTTCTTCGATTATATATAAGTAATCATTCAAAAATGTTCATTAAATGCCTTCAGTGTCAGAGGGTGTAATTTTAGGCAATGGATGAAATTAAGAGAAAAAGGGAATTATGCTTAAAATTTTTACTATGTAGTTGTTTATTTAATTACATAAAATCTACAATATGGTCAGTGAACAGAGAGTATTCTGTGACTATTTTCTCGAGCTTTGGAAATAATTTTTCTCATTTCCCTCCTAGTTCAGTATATTTCCTTTTTGTATTTTCACACAGCCAGTGTTTAACCATTTAAATTCTATGAAAAAGTTGTTTAGATTTGTTTTGCTTTTGGCCTTTGTATGCTATTTCTTTGAGCACCAGACAGACCATAAATAACATACAGATTTGTATTTCTCTGTCTGAATCACTAGGCACCTAAGTAAGAATATGGAAAAAGATAAAGAAAAAAAGCAGTTTACCTGTACTAGTAAGTGATAAGTAATGGCTATTATCATCCAGATAATTTTTCTTATCTAGAGAGAAGTGAAATGTTTTTGCCAATTACATTTAACTTCCTAATAAACTTCTCCCTCCAAAAAAGAAAAGAAAAGAAAAAGAAAACACTTCTGAGTCTTGAAGTTCTGTGTTTTATTTTGTGGTTCTTTGGGTTAATGATGACATGTTTTTCTTTGAATGATGGTTTGAGATATTAAATAATTTGAAAATACAAGAATTTAGATTGTAAGATGTTTTCTAAAGTTATAGAAACTGTTATTGTGGTAAACTTGGTTTCTTTCATTTTTTAAATTTTTTATAGCACAATTAGCTATATTTATGAAAAAGAAAAGAAAAATATTCTGTAGTTTGTGCACTGAGTTTCAAATCTTAACACTGGAATTGTTCACTTTCCATAACTGTACTGCTTTAATACCTTTTATTATATTGTAGAATATAAAATGCACATATATGATGAGACAGAATTTCCTCATTTGTAGAATTGTTTTCCTCCTTCAGAAACTCATTAAATAAAGGAAGAGAAAGATTGACTTTTTTAAACTTCCCTAACATGCTTTCTGACTAAAACTATGAAGTCAATCTGACAGTCAATATTTATATGCCAACACCCAGAAATGTGTCTGTTAAAAGTGTATCCAACACATTTATAATCATTTTTGTTTTTTTAAAGGTGAGCTTACAACAAATTAGACATAGAAGCATCTTTGTACTTTAAATTAGAGCTTAAAACTGAGAGTGTCTAAAATAGATTAAGAATTACCATGTGAAAGTATCAAAGCTTTCGTAACGATGTAGGGACTGTAGTCACTGCTGTCTATCATCCTTATTTCAGTTTGGGAAATAAAGTAAGGTATAATCAGAGTTTTAGAATTAAGACTTTGTGGCAAGCATGAAATGGTCAGAACTAGAAGAAATATCAAAATACCTTACTTTTCAGCTTGGAGGCAATAAAGAATATCAGACCTTACCACTGAAGCTTTTGGGCAATTATTGCTTTTCTGTTTGTTTTAAGCCTGCAACTTTTTGTGGTATATTTTAAACATCCAGACGATATAGGCTGTCCCTTGTATCTCTATGAACGATATCTTGCCAGAGAGTTATTCAAAGCTGTTTGCTGTGGTATGTGCTATGGGAGCTGCTTATAGCTCTTCCTATATGAGAAGCCGTAAAACGTCTTATATAAAATTTAAGGCAATTTGCTATTTTTGTATGTGAGGATGATTTGTTTAAAATGAAACTACTAGGAAAGAGTGCTGCTTTATGCTCCATCGTAGCTGCCAATTAACTAAAATGATTTGAAGCTTGCTATGCTGAATACAAATTTTATATGCTTTAATATAATAATATAAACCCTAAAAGAGAAAATTAAAATAAAATGCTACATAGAGCATAAATCTAGCTATAACTTTATTTCACACTGATCAAACCTGCTGCCTCTACATTTTTATATAAGATTAAATTTGTATCGGTACATAATTATAGCTTTAAAAGTAAATATGAATATGTTGCTAATATTATTTTATCTGTCAATCCACAAGCACAAATTCTTTTTTAATACTGAATAAAGCATTCATTTTTTTCCTTCATTGTCATCTTTTTAACACTAGGCATTTGGAAATATTTTCCGTGAAAAGCACTGCATTATTATTATCATTATTTAAAAAATCACTTTTTATTCTAAATTCTGAAAACTTAAGCTTTTATATGGAATGGAACTCCTTACAAATAAAATTTTTCTCTACAAGCTTCAGTTGAGCTTTTTAAATACTTTATAACAGTCATAATTTTTATTATATTTAAATGTCTAAGTTAATCTCAGTATTATGAAATACTTTGACATGTGAGTGTACTGGACTCTATGTTCTATTTAAAAA